TGACTTATAAGTCGTTTATCCATTTTGTGTTTATTCTGGTGTATGGTGTAAGTTGGTGGTCTAGTTTCTTTTTTTTGCAGGTCCTAGTCCCATTCTCCCAACACCATTTATTAAAGAACTTGTTTTTACTTCATTGTAGCTAATGCTCCCTTTGTCAAATATTAATTGATGATAGAGACATGGGTTTGTTTCTGGGCTCTCTATTCTGTTCCATTGATCTATGTATTTATTCTTATGCCAGTACCAGACTGTTTTGATTATAGTGGTCTTGTTGTATAGTTTTATATCCGGTATTGTGACACTTCCAACTTTGTTCTTATTTCCCAAGATTGCTGAGGCTATCTGTGGTCTTTTTGGGTTCCACGTAAATTTTTGAAATAGTGGTTCTATATCTGTGAAATATGCCATTGTTATTTTAATAGGAATTGTGTTGAATCTATGGATTGCTTTGGGTAGTGTGGGCATTTTAATGATGTTAATTCTTCCGATCTATGATCATGGTATATATACTTCCATTTATTTGTGCATTCCTCAATTTCTTTCTTCAGTAGTCTGTAGTTTTCCGAGAACAGGTCTTTTATGTCCTTAAGTTTATTCCTAGGTACTTTATTTTTCTTGTTGCTACAGTAAATGGGATTTTTTTACTTGTTTTTCTTTTTAATAGTTCATTATTGGTGTACAAAAATGCTATTGATTTCCAAATACTGACTTTGTATGATGCTAATTTTCCAAGTTCACTTAGAGACTATAGGGTTTTCTATGTTCACTATCATGTTTTCTGCATATAATGACAGCTTTTCTTTCTCCTTTCCAATTTGGATGCCTTTTATTTCTTTTTAGTACAATGTTGAATGAGAGGGTGAAAGCGGACCCTCTTGTGTTGTTCCTGATCTTAAGGGGAAAACTGGTAGTTTTTGTCCATTGAATATGATGTTGGCTGTAGATTTCTCATATATGGCCTTTATTATGTTGAGGTATGCTCCCTCTATTCTCACTTTGCTGAGTGTTTTTATCATAAATGGGTGTTATATTTTATCAATGTTCATTTCAACATCTATTGATATGATCATGTGATTTTTATCCTTCATTTTGTTTATGTTGGTATATCACATTTATTAATTTGTGAATATTGTACCATCCTTGCATCCCTGGGATGAATCCAGCTTGATCATGGTGTATAATCTTTTTATTGTATAGATGGATTTGGATTGCCAATATTTTGTTTAGGATTTTAGCTTCTATGTTCATCTGCGATATTGGCCTGTAGTTTTCTTTCTTTGTTGTGTCTCTACCTGGTTTTGGAATTAGGATGATACTGGCCTCATATAAAGCGTTTGGGTGTCTTCCCTCTTCTTGAATTCTTTGGAGTAGTTTGAGAAGAATGGAGATTAGCTTGCCCTTAAATGTTTGGTAAAATTTGCCTGGGAAGCCTTCTGGTCCAGGGCTTTTGTGTGCCTGGCATTTTTTGATTATTGCATCAATTTCATTAACTGTTATTGGTCAAATCAGTCTTTCTGCTTCTTCTTGATTCAGTTTTAGAAGATTGTATGTTCCTGGAAATGTATCCATTTTGCCCAGGTTGTCCAATTTCTTGGCATATCGTTGTACATACTGAGTTCTTAGAATCATTTGTATGTCTATAGTATCAGTTTAAACTTTTCCTCTTTCACTTCTGATTTTATTTGAGTCCACTCTTTTATTTTTATTGATGAGTATAATTAAAGGTTTGTCAATTTTATTTATTTTCTGAAAGAACCACCTGCTGGATTCATTGATCCTTTTAATTTTTCTTTTTTCTTAAGTTCCTGTGTCATTTAATTCTGCTTTGATATTATTTCCATCCATCTACTCATTCTGGGCTTTGTGTGTGTTATTCTTCTAGTTCTTGTAGATGTAGGTTTAGGTTGTTTATTTGAGATTTTTCTCTTCTTTAGGTAAGCCTGTATTGCTATGAACTTCCCTCTCAGGACTACCTTTACTGTGTCCCAAAGGTTTTGGAATATTGTGTGTTCATTTTCATTTGTTTTCGGATACTTTTCAATTTCTCCCTTGATCTCATTGTTAACCCCTTCATTATTTAATAACATGTTATTCAGTCTGCATGTTTTGAATGTTTTTGAGTTTTTTCCTTGAGGTTGGTTTCTAGTTTCAAGCCATTGTAATCTGAGAAGATGCTTGATATGATGTCAACTTGCTTGAATTTCTTGAGGTTTGTTTCGTTTCTTACTATGTGGTCTTATCTTTGAAAATGTTCCATGAGCATTTGAAAAGAATGTATATGTTGCTTCTTTGGTATGAGATATTCTGTAAATACAGTTGAGTCCATTTGAGCTAGAGTGTCATCCAGTGCCGCAATATCCTTGTTGATATTTTCTTTGGAATATCTACTCATTGTTGACAGAGGGGTGCTAAAATCCAACAGGATAACTGTGTTTCTATTGATATAGTTCTTGAAGTGCTCCAAGATTTTCCTTATATATTTTGGTGCTCCTCTGTTGGGTGCTTATATGTTTACAGGGGTTATATCCTGTCGTTGGACTACTCCCTTAAGTGTTATGTAGCGGCCTACTTTGTCTCTTGTTATGGCCTTTGCTTTGAAGTCTCTTTTATCTGATATAAGTATTGCTACCTCAGCCTTTTTTTTTTTTAATGTTTATTTGCTTGGAATATTTTTTTATCCCTTCACTTTCAGCCTGTGTAGCTCTTTTGTTCTGAGGTGGGTCTCTTGTAAGAAGCATATATGTGGATCATGTTTTGTAATCCATTCAGCTACCTTGTATCTTTTGATTAGAGCATTTAATCCATTTACATTAAAGGTTATTATTGATAGGTAATTATTCATTGCCATTTTCCCCCTTTGTACCTGTGTTCCTCTTTCTCTTTTTCTTTGTCTTCTTAAAGCAGTCCCATTAGAATGTCTTGCAATGCTGGGTTTTTGGAGATGTACTCTTTCTTTTACCTGTTTTTGCCTGGAAAGTTCATTATTTCTCCTTTCATTTTAACTGAGAGCCTTGCTGGGGAGAGTAGTCTTGGTTGTACACCTTTGCTTTTCATTACTTGGAAGATTCATGCAATTCCCTTCTGGCTTGTAGTGTTTCTGTTTAGAAATGACCTGATAGTTTTAGCAGAAATTTTTGTATATTACCAGCTGTTTCTCCTTTGCTGCCTTCAAGAGTATCTCTGTGTCTTTAAATTTTGCCATTCTAATTATTGATGTGCCTTTTAATGGGCCTCTTTGGGTTCACTTTTATTGGGACCCTCTTTGCTTCCTGGACTTCTGTGACTTTTTCCTTGATTATGTTAGGGAAGTATTCTTTCTTTACTTTTTCAAACAGGTTTTCTATCCCTTGCTTCTTTTTTTCCCCTTCTGGTATCCCTATGATGTGAATATTATGTTTCATATTGCCCTCTTTCTTCCTTAAACTATCTTCATTCTCTCAAGTCTTTTTTCATTGCCTTGCTCTCTCTGGGTGTTTTTTTCTACCTTGTCATTTGACTTGCTGATTCAGTCCTCTGCTTCACCTAACCTGCTTTTAATTCCTTCTAGTGTATTTTTCATTTCAGATGTTGGATTCTTCATTTCCTCCTGGCTCTTATTCATAATTTCTATGTCCTTTCTCATGCTGATATTGTTCCCACTAAGTTCCTTGTAGCTCCCATAGCGTTCCTTGTAGTTCTCACTGAGTTCCTTGAGCATCCTTATAACCACTGTTTTGAACTCTATGTCTTATAGATTGCTTCCTCACTTTCATTTAGTACCCTTTCTGCGGATTCCTCCTTACCTTTCAATTCGGGTATTTTTCTTTGTCTTCCCATTTAAGATGACTCTTTTTGTTTGTTTCTGCATATTAGATCGATCTGTTTTGACTCCCTCTCTTTGTGGTGTGACCTTCTGTGGTAGGAGACCCGTGGGACTCAATGGTGCAGTCTCCTCGATCTGCTGATCTGATTGCTCTTGGGATGCCCTTCATACTGTCTATGTGGTTTCTGTTACTGTAATTGAATTTTAGTTGTTGAGTCATTCCTTCATGGGCTCTTCCTCCAGCTGGCTGACTGAGAGTCACACTACCAACCACATCTTGTATGCTGTTGTATAAGTGCGAACGGTGCAAAGCATCCTCTGTACTGCTTGACTTCAGAAATGCATATCCACTGAGATTACATTGATTGTTAGGTCACTGGTTGGAAGATGAGCTGAAAATCCATGCTGATGGCACAAGCAAGTGGGCTTAGCTTCTACCTACTCTACTACAATCTTCCCAATGCTCCCTCTCAAGGTCTTGTTTCTACCTGTACACATCTTTAATGTACCTCCTGAAAGCACTGTGGGCTTTCTCCATTGTGCATTTAAGACAATGCTGTGATGTCTAGAATCAAAGTCATCATTTCTCTAGCATAAATGACCTTATTTATTACTCCAAACCCAACTCTGATGTTAACTTTTGTTAAGATTCCAAGTGTCCTCTGTCTCCAGCTTCCCAGGCATCATCAGCACTTGTGAGTGAAATATCACATCACCAATCCATTATCACATGATATATGTCTGTCTCCTTCTCTAGAGTATGAGATATGCAGGGCCAGAGATTAAGTCTTTCTTATATACCTGCTACATGAATGAATGAGTGAATGGTGGATGTAATTTCTGCAGGGCTTCCCTCTAAATTTCCTGGTAAAAAGTTTCAAATGACTTTCATAACTGAGAAACTATATAGAATTTTGACATTAGAAGATAGTCTGGAGATCATGTCTGGCTTTAAGAAACTTAAAACCAAAGAAATTTAATATTCTGCCTAGAGCTACATGGCTCTGGAAGGAATAGACTTGAGGTCTCCATTTGACATTCATTTATGAAAAGTATATTTCCTTAATTCTGTTTTGTTCTACCAGGTTGAACAGATGTTTAGGAATTTAGTCTTTGTCTGAGGTAGCAAAGTATTAATATATGTTAACTCTTAGAGCAACTCTAGAATATCTTTTTCTTTATTTTTTTTACTGGACAGGTAAATACCAGCTGTCCCCCACAGTGAATATGCCCCAAGATGACACGGTCATTATAGAAGATGACAGGCTGCCAGTGCTTCCTCCACATCTCTCTGACCAGTCATCTTCCAGCTCACATGATGATGTGGGATTCGTGACGACAGACCCGGGCCCCTGGCCTAAGACTGCCATCAGTGATTCAGCAGACTGGTAAGATCACACTCCAGGGTTGGAAGACATTAGTCAATTATTGGTTTGGCAAAAAGTTTGTTTTTTCCTGTAAAATGGCTCTAGTAGCTCTTAGTTGTGTTTAACATCATCCAAAACAATTTTGTTAGATTGTATTGTGACAATTGTCATACCAGCATGCATTTAACCAAACTTACCAAAATTAGTCAATTTTTATGAATAATTTTAATATTAAAGATGGAAAAATTACTCAACATTTTGGCACATTATGTTCTATTATTTCAAGAAAGGTAAAAACACAACTGAAATGCAAAAAAGGATTTGTGCAGTGTATGGAGAAGGTGTTGTGACTGATCAAATGTGTCACAAGTAGTTTGTGAAGTTTTGTGCTGGAGATTTCTCACTGAATCATGCTCCACGGTCAGGTAGACCAGTTGAAGTTGATAGTGATCAAATTGAGACATGGAGAACAGTCAGTGTTATACCACATGGGAGATAGCCAACATACTCAAAATATCCAAATCAATAAAGTTATTGGTTAAAGTGGAAAATGTGTGTTTTATTTTATGGAAAAAACCATCCAGACTTTTTGGCCAACCCAGTACTGTTACAGTTTATCTTGTAGGGGTGCCCAGCCTTTGGTACCTCTGGGCCACACTGGAAGAAGAAGAGTTGAGTTGTCTTGGGTGACGCATTAAATATATTGCAACAGTTAACCACAAAAATATCTTATAATATTTTAAGTAAATCTATAATTTTGTGTTGAGCCACATCCATAGCCATCCTGAACTGTGTGCAGCTCACAGGCTGCAGGTTGGACACCCCGGATGGTTTACCACTGAGCACAGTAATCAGTTTTTTTATTGTAGCAGAGTTCTGTTTGCGTGGTTTTAATAATCTTAATTAGCACTCTTTTAATAAAAGATTCCCTCCAAGCCCCTAAACTTGCCCAATTGCTTTAGCCTTTCCAGGGCTGTAGTTAATAATTTAGCCAAAATAACAACAAAGCTGCCACTAACCGGAAAACCCTACTCATTTGTTAATTCATTATTAATTATTTTAGATTGGTGTCAATTTGATGAATTGTTTTTCTATTAAGTAAATAAATTCTAAGCAAATTCTTAAGGTGACTTAACGTTTATCACAATTAGATGATTTTGGCCAAAGTAGCTGATATGTCCTGGGAATGGAGAGATTTTTGTTTTTTGTTTTGAAGACTATTGAAAATGCTTTGTCCTTCCTTCTAGCATTGTGACTTTTGGGATAGTGTAATGCTTTTTTTTACTTCTGTATCTTTCAAAATCAAAGTAAGGTTTTTATATTATTGAGACAATTTGTGGCTCATGAAAGTGGACATGCACTTTAATTTGCATGCCTAGTAATTATGTACATCAACAAGCAATTGGAAAGTGCTCCCTATCATTGACCTTGCACAGTTATAGTGATAATTAACACAAACCGTGCGAAGCATTATACCAGAATTTTCTTACTTCCCTTTCTTTGGGGTCTTTTTTGAATACATCAGCAATATTATATTTAAATGTTACAGCATTGTTCCTTCACCATTTATCCATTTCTGTTTCCTACTCTTCCCCAGACTTGTATCAACATTAAAAATTAGCCCTGGCTGGTGTGGCTCAGTGGAATGAGCGCTGCTGGCCAATGAACCAAAGGGTCACTGGTTCAATTCCCAGTCAGGGCACATGCTTGGGTTCTGGGCCAGATCCCCAGTAGGGGGCACAAAAGAGGCAATCACACATTGCTGTTTCTCTCCCTTTCTCTCTCCCTCCCTTACCCTCTGTCTAAAAATAAATAAATAAAATCTTTTAAAAAATTAGATAGGAGGAATCCAAGGGACTGGCATTTAGTTGTGTTAACCTTTTAGTGATGATCTTAAATAAACCACCCCCACAGTCCTCATCCCCCACTCTTCCCATGAGCACAAGAAAATACATCCTGGGCATCAGTGATTTCTGCAGGCGTTCTCTTCCAACAAATCTCACCTGTTACTTGCACCCTTGAAAATTCTGTATCTGTTTTCCTTTCTCTTTCCCACCCTTTCCCTCCCCTCTCTTCTGTCTTGCATTCTCTTATTAGAAACACAGGATTTAAAAACAGAGCTTCACTCAAGCCTGCATTATAGTAGCTTATCTGTGAATATGGTTTTTGGTTCAACTTAGAGGGGATGGTCCAGTATAAAGTAAACTCCCATTTGAACTCTGAAGATGCATTTATATTTGCTGCTGCAGATTTTGTCTTTTTCAGAAAGTGAAAAAACAACTGAGAAAGTAAGGATTAGATATTTGCAGCATTCATTTTAGGGACGAAAGCCTTTGAATCTCCCTAAGAAATTTCTCCATAATTTGAATGAGAAATTATACAGGTGGCCAGAGGAATAGGTCTGTTGGGGGCCTGATGAAGGGATGTATTGGTGAAAATAAATAAATAACTAGCAGGGATGATTGTGGCATTAACTTCCCTACAGGGATTCATGAACGGTTGAGGATTTCTATGATTTTGCTGTGGAGAATGTGGGGCAAGGAAGACAATATGAATAAAGGGTTATCTAAACAAGAATGGCAGCTGTTCTGAATCACAGCAGAAAATGTAAGCTTTTTCTGCCTGACAATATCACCCTAATCCTTGGTGAAAATGTTATGAAAATAAAAGGGCAATAAGACAGGGTTAATAACTGGAATTTTAATAACATTGGGGGTCTGGATATGGTTACATTCTTTAAAGAATCAGGTGTCAGTCCTGCAGTCTAACTTGTTAAGTATTCTAGGTTGCTGTTTATTGTGTCTGAATTAGTTTAGTGGGTCTATTGATAGGGAAGCATTAGTATGTCATGCTTTAAGATTATTCAGTTATTTTAAGACTGTCATTAACTCACAAACTCATTTGACATTTTAAATTATGTATGTTTACAGTTCACTGTACTGTAGGTCTAACTATAACAAATAGCTAAAATTTTGTTTTGTTAACTAATAGAATATACTTCTTTATAATCCATTAATTGATTTAGGGAATATTAACAATTGTTTTAAAGGGAAAAAAGCAAAACGGCACTTTCTAATTTTAGTGACAACATAACTATAGAGGATATAAAATTAGTTTATAAAAATGGCAATATGTGGTTTTCAGGTAACATGAGCAACAACAGTTTGTATTTCTTTGAAAAATTTTTTACCTATAATTTCCATCAAAATTGTATTTCAAATTCATCCTGTTTGCCTATTTTATGCCTTATTGGAGTTCCAGTTTTAAAATATTTCTTAAGATACAAAAATGAAGTTGGTAAACAGATGCAGATATATAGAAAAAATAATTTTATTGAAAATATATTATTTAGAGTTTTCCATTACAAACAGGGTCATAGTTCTCATCATATGGGTTTTAGTTTTTCACTTCTAGGACTGTGTATTTGAATTGGGGTGTATGTGCTCTGGAAATTATAGGCATAGTAGTATGTGAATACTACTATATAAGCATAATATATAAGCATGTATCTATTTAGGAAATATGTATAAACTATATATATATAATGTACACTATGGCTATACTTATCTACATACATAGTACAGCTGACCCTTGAACATCATAGAGCCACTTATATGTAGGTGATTTTGAAGAATTACCTGTACTGTTTTCCATCTGTGGTCAGGAGTCTGCAGAGATGGAGGACTGACTGTATGCACTGATATATACCATTTTATATCGAGGACTTGAGTGTGCATGGATTTTTGGTACCAAAGCTGTGTGGATACCTAAGGGCAACTTAAGTTTTGGGGAAGTCAAAAGTTGCATGTGCATTTTTACTGTGTGGCGGGGTCCGCTCCCCAACCCTTGCGGTGTTCACATGTCAGCTGTATATAAGCATTATAGAATGTGAATGGGCACCTAAGCCTTCAGGATGAACATTACCTTGCTTCTTTCTGGAACACTGAATTTATTCAAAGTTTTATAGGAAAAATCTGATATGTTAAAATGAAAAGATTTAGTGTAGAGTGTAAACAAAATAACTTTATTAGGATGTAAGACTGATTCTGTTTTACAAAAAAAAAAAAAAAAATGTTATTGCCTTGAGTTAAATTCCTGGTCTCTGTGGATACATCCTTTCTCAGTCCTTGGGCCAGGACTAAGGTGAGGGAAGGTAAGTTCCAGGATTCAAAATATAAGGAGATACTCACTCTCAGGTGCCAACCCAGAACTTGCATGACCCTGAGAGTGAGTGCTTCCTTAATTCTGAGCCCTGGGCACTTGCCTCATTCTTGGGTCCCTGCTCTGTATTTGGTGGAAAAGATTGAGAAGGATTATACAGTTTCTTTGTGTGGTTTTTAAGAACTGTTTTCATTATCATAATTTGTATTACTTTGATAATTTGAGAAATAAAGTCTTTGTTGGTTTATAAGTTATTTTGTATAGTAGTTTGCAATTTACGAAGGGCTTTCACCAGTGCCATTGAAGTCTCGTCAGCCTTCTAAGGTGGATGAAGCAAGTATTCTCTTTATTGAGGGTTGCAAGACATGCGGGTTCAATACATTTCAGGTCCCTTAACCTGACATCCAAGCATTATCCTTGATGTCTTCTCACCATTTTTGGTTTAGCTACTCTAAATAAAAGCCAGTTATTTCATGCTCAGTATGTTGCAGCTAAATTTCTGATATATACCCAAATTAGATCACTGTCTTTTATGCAACCAATGTGGAGGGTAATTCTCAGAAAGGGTTTGAGGAGCTTGCTTCCATCAGAGTATGAAGGAGCCTGTCATAGACTCAGCTGACAGAGTGGAAGTGTTCCCTCTAGTAGGTAGTTCCATTCTAGTAGGGAGTTAACTGAGCAGGGATGTTCTCTTACGTGGTAAGATAAGTATGGTGACACAGTGCTGATACCAGAGAGCTATTTATTTTCTCAGTGTGGCCAGCGCAAAGAAAAATGATTTTCATTGTGTGCGCTGTGCTCAGAACACCTGATAAGCATTTTAAAATGTTTACACATTTATATAAATAGGAGTGATTTTGTGTCACCCTTTGCTGCTTCCATTGGGAAAACACTTCAGACTGTGTTCCGTTACAAATGGTGTGCTGTGTGCTTCATCATTGCTGCTTCAGTCACAGTGTTTGTGTGCCCACAGCATATGCCACCTCTTCTAAGCCATGCTTTTCCAGTGTTCCTCAAACACTGTTACTCTTTCACCTGTGCACCCATAGCTTCTGCAATAGACTTACTGGTTTTATGTTTTTCTTAGGAACTCAAAGAGATCAGAGATCTTATTTATCATTTTGACTTTGACCCAACATAGTGCTTTAATCAGAATAGGTTCTAATGAAGATTTGTTGAGTTGACCTTCACAGTTAAGTGTTACAGAGAAACTATATCCTCATTAAACTACGTGCCATAAAGGTGTATTTTTTTTTCTTTTCTGAAACACAAGATAAAGGATATATAAGACCAGAAATATATCCTTTTTAAAACTTCTTTTCATTTTCATTTTATATAGTCACTTGTTTGCTGACAATATTTGTTTTAACATATGAGAGGTTTCTTCAAACTTTGAATCATTCCAATGTCTAAAAGATATAAGGCTAATTTTTGATAATCAGTTAGAAATAATCCTGGATTGTCAGACAGAGTGAGGAAACTATGAGAGTGAAACAGGAGGAAAGAACTCATATGTAGAAAGAAATACTAAGTATAAATTAATGTTGTATTTTAGATCATTTCCTATACAGACACAGTTTTTTTCATGAATTATATTTCTGTTGTTTAAATATCTTTGAGGAACATATGTATACATACATTCATACACGCAGGTATAAATGAACTTCCATAAAATGGATGTCTTCTGTTTTTAGTAACTATTTTTATGTTTGTCTTTTTTTTTCCACAACAGCTCTTTGAGTCCAGATGTTGATCCAGTTCTTGCTTTTCAACGAGAAGGATTTGGACGCCAGAGTATGTCAGAAAAACGCACAAAGCAATTTTCCGATGCCAGTCAATTGGATTTCGTTAAAACACGAAAATCAAAAAGCATGGATTTAGGTAGTGAGTACAGTCTCCGTGAATCTTTATCTAAATAGGTGCTTTCAGATTAAAATCAGTGGTCCCAAACACATGTCTCTTTACTTTGAATCATAGAAGAAACAAATGTGAAATGTGGAAATTTGGCAAAGATTTGTTTTTCTCTGAGTTTGAGATAACCATATTTCTCATAAGTGGCATGTTTATATAATGTTCAACATGTTAATATATATGTTTTTTGATGAGAAAAGAAACATATGCATTTCATGTTATAGTCATGCATCCTTTTATTTAAAACAATGAAATATTTTAACACTGGCTGTTTAAAACCAACTTCATTGAAATAGTATTTGTTTGGTTGTGGCATTCTGAACTAAAGAAAAAATTTTGGAGAAAAATCATTATCTCAATCCATGTCTAGAATTTGGTTACTTTATATTTTTCTTTCATTTCTATTCTTTAAGGTTTATTTAATCGAAACTCCTATGTGTTCATAATTAAGGTATTTAATTGAAGTAATAATTTGAGAGGATATTTATTGTAGAAAGTATTTGAAGCAAATGAGAGCAGGAGAATAATCATAATTGTTCAATCAAACACCAATCAGGTAGTGTCTCTTTTTGAATCCAAATCCACCAAAAGAACAAAGAAAGTAAAATAATTAATCATAGCTATAAACTGAATGATTTTTAAAACCTTTGTTAATCAGTTGTGACTTATTTATGCTGTTCCCTGGTGGCTGTTTGTACTTCAAGACTAAAAATATTAATTTATCACATGTATGCAAAAAAGAAAAAAATTGGTGATGCATTGCCTTTGCTAATTACGATATGCTAACATACAAATAACATACATGTCTGTGAAATGAAATGACTGGCATATTGCATGGAGACACTGCTTACCCTCCCCTTTTGATTATAAATATTTGCTTGAGGTTTCATAATATTTGCATGAAATATTACCTAAGAATTATCACATAACCAAAAGGATTTGGGAATTGTTGAAGCATGTTGGGCTGTGGGACTAACTGGGCTAACCATTATACATTTACCTTTTAACAGTAGCTGACGAGACTAAACTCAATACAGTGGATGACCAGAAATCAGGTAAGGATGGACCGTTAGCCTGTTGCCATAGAAACTGTGGTCCATGGAGCTTATCATAATTACAGAGCTGCCAATCATCTTGCATGTATACATAAATATTCTAGTCTTGCATGGATGTTTTTATTGTAGGAAATCAAATTGTACTAGACGAGAAAATTTTCTGTTAGAGACATTTATCAGTGCAGCACATCTAAATGGAAATATAATTTAGCAATTTAGAAATGCTTAAACAACCCAGATTTTCTTAATTTATTCATGCAGGGATGTTTTGTCACCATCTCAGAAAAATCAAAACCCTGAAAACATGATCTCTTGGGTAGACTCTCATTTTTAAGTTGTTTCTTTGATGCGTAGGCTGACATCCAAAACAGATTCTCAAAGTGGTGACTTTGATTTGAAGGGTAATAATAGCACAATTGTCAATATTTTTCACGAAAGGACAGTGTCCAGTAATTGCTATCATTAGTCACTCAGAAAACCTGTTTCTTTTTCTAATGCAAGAATTCGCTCATAGTTACCTGACATTGAAATTAGACAATGCAATGCATGTGGCTCTTTATCTTAACTTTGTGAACCCTTTCAAAAGGTTTTTTTTGTTCCCTTTCATTACCTATTTAGGGCTGGATTCTGAAGTGCTGCCAAAATGATTCCACAGAAACTGAATTATATTGAACTGGGTTTTGCACTAAATTTTACTTCTTATGTTATTTTATGGAAAGAATCAAAGGAGAATTTTTATATGTAATTAATGTAGTGTGCTTTGTACAATTGAGCATTTATGATTTATTATAAGTTTGGAATAGTGTTTTAATTATTCTAGATTCAGTTTGATATAATAGTCATACTACTTACCATTAATTACCTTCACCTTTTTAAACTCTAGTAGTAATTGTTTTTATTGCGCTTGAAAAATGTATATCCCATATACATATGTAAGATTATTGTGAACGTAGTTGGAGTTTTCACATTCTGTAGAGTAAAAGATTGTAAAAATTACATCCAACAGATTATAGAATTAATTGTACTGCAAAGCAATTAACTATAGCCTCAGCCCTTATTATATAGTTATTTCTCTTATGAAACATAAAATTCATTGAAATTTTGAGACAGGGCTAAAGAAAAATATTTTGAGAGTTTACATATGTAAATTAGTTACTAGTTTTTAGAGTTATTAGTGTTCAGTTCTTTTAAGAAAGTAACTTTGGTCCAAGGTAACCAATTCACTACTGCTAGAAAGAATAATTCATTGTGATTAAAAAAAATGACATCCATATTTTAACTGAAAACATTACATAACTCATGGTGAGGAGGGGAATTTTTGTTTTTACTTTGTTTTTATTGTTAACACTATTACAGGTGTCCCCATTCCCTTCTCCCTTTGCCCACACCCAGGCAGTCCCCGTCCCCTACTTCCCTCTGGCTGCCACCACACTGCTGTCTGTGTCTGTGGGTCATGCATGGATGTTCCTGGGCTCATCCCTTCACCCCCCTTCATCCAGTTCGCTCTCCTCCCTTCCCTCTGACAGCTGTCAGCCTCTTCCATGTGTCCATGCCTCTGTTTCTGTTTTATTTGTCAGTTTATCTTGTTCATTAGATTTTATAATTAATTGGATCATACATTTATGGTGTTTTGACATCCTCAATATAAAAGAGAAATTTTTTTTTGCACTATGTGCAATCTATTCTACCAAATTAAATTGGAAAAACTTGGGACAAAAATAATCCGTAGACACCAAATTTTCAGTTATTTTCACTTGAATTGTTAAGATTACCATGATTTAACATTTTAGCACACATTTTTTGGTAGAGTTATAGTGGCACTTTAGCATGGATTGTCTAGCCATAAGCTCTTCACAAAGAAAATTGAATTCCATTTGCCTTTGTCTTTGTAAAAGACATATCCTTCACTTTTCTTTTCCTTTCCCCCCCCCCCTCCCAGCAAGAGGAGTAGTAATAGAAAACTATACCTAGGAAAAATAGTATGATTATAATTTTCATTTAATTCTTGGATTTAGGGGTCTTTTATGATATTTGGCTGTACATTTACTTTCTGAAAGAGAACAAGAATAAGAAAAGAATTGGGTTTTTAACAGTTTAATCCTTGAATATAAAACCTAACAAAGTATCCTAATAACCAAAAAAGATTTATATAAAGAGCTTGAAAATACAATTTCATAATTAAAAGATATTGATTTTTGTGTCTTTGTAAGTTCAACTAATTTCTTTGTGCATACTTTAATAGAGAAACAAATTTTCCATCTTTCTTATTAGTAAATGCTGAGTTATTAATGTTAGGGATCTCAGTAACCCTCATTCAGGAATCTTAATGTATTACTTAACAAAACCTTTGTTCAGGTTTCTTTGACAAGTATTGACATGGCCTTGGAAACCAGACAGTCTCTGTAGCAATTACTTAATTCTGATGTAGCATGAAAGCAGCCATAAAATATGTGTAAACAATCTGCATGGCTGTGTTTGAAAACATTTTCCAGATTTGGCCCAGGATTTGCTGATTCCTGTTATAGATTCACCAATTATAGGTGTCTTTTTTTAATAATATTTTATTATGAAAATTTTCAACCATATGTTAATATAGAGATAATAGTTCATTGATCTCTCATAAACCCCGTACCCACCATTCATAATTCAACATTTTGCCAAAATGTTATTCTACAGTGAATTACACTTACAAAATATCTACTGCTTCTTTAGTCATACTTTTATTATTTTTCTTCCCAGATTTACCTGTGTTTATGTATTTTAATAAGTACATGTGTTTTTATGCACATACACTTATATATACATATAAATATATATACATTTATTTTAACAAGTACACATGCCATTTATAAAAGTCATTATTAAAGTTTTTAGTCCTCTGAGTACATAAAGTCAAATTTCAGTTGATTTCATAAACAAAAGCTTAATATACATAGTTTCTATTTTTATGATAACATTTACTAGAAACATGAAATATGTATTGCAGATAGATAAATAGACAGCCAGCCAGAATAAATATACATATACATACATATATAGGGATAAGCAAAAATAGGTTTACGGTTGTGAATACACAAAACAGTTCATTCCTGTTGAGTTAATAAAGCTATTGCAATAATCATAACCTGCATGACAACTGTAAATCTACTTTTGCCCACCCCACTATACATACACATGTCCTTTATGAATCCAAGAAATTACCAAATATTTGCCTTGTAAATGTTTAAAGAACCCAGATGGAGCTGGTAAGTTATCAAAATTGTTAGGCATGATTTATTCAGAAAGAAATCTTCCCAATGCTAATTCTAGGACATATAAAGGTAGCTGTCCCTGCCCAGAAACAGTCTTTTCCCATTCTCCTTGGTTTCTTGATTTCTTATTTTTTGTTTAGTTTGAAACAAAATCTGTTTTCATTCCTGTGACATGACTTTTGTAAGTATTTAGAACATGAACTTTCAAAAGGTAATATTGCTATAAATAGAAAAAGTAATATTGATCATCCTGGAAAGAAATAGTTGATGTGAATTTTTTGTCATAACATAATCTATATATATGCTAACCTGCATTGAGAAAGTTAAATGAATCACCTCTTTCTGCACAATAACTTAAGGAATATTATTTCTTCATTGGAATCATCTGTCTTTCTGCCTGTATCACATTTTTAATGTATTCTTTCTAACTTAAAACTGCTACATTGTGAAAATTCAGTGAAAGAAATAATGTAAATGAATCTTAAAAGACAATTCTTGTTTTGGCTGTCTCAGTTTATTTTTATTTTGGTTCACACTTGGAGCCATGGAAAGCCCATGCTATCACCACGTGTCTTTGGGTAATAACACACAAGGCTGCTCCTTAATTACTGATCAGCATATGGACTGATGATTTAACGCACAAATTGTCTAGTCTCTCCTGCCCTCCCATATTTTTGCACGTGTCTTTTTAACAATATAAGTGAAGAACTAGTTCTATAACTTGGATTGTCTGGGTAGTAGTACAGGCTAAATTTGTCTAGTTTCAAGCCCTAGGTCAGGCAGTGATCGATGACACTGTCTTAACCAGGTAAAAAAATCTATTTTGATTGCCATCTAGGCTTGGTATGCGACTGGTATTATCTCAGGCCTTTCTGCCCCAGATCCTCAAGAATGGAGCCAAATTTTTAATTCCCTGAATTCTTCCCTGCCATCTTACTGATATTTTTTTGTTGTTGTTAATGATGAAGTCTTCTGCCTTCTATTTATTGTTTCTCAAGCAGATATTACTCCCAGAGCTGGAGGTTTAAGTCAGCTCTCTAGTTTGTTCTCCTTTACCTGTCTTGAGAGAGAGCCCTGATGTGATAATTTGCTTCTGTTCAAATCTTCCATTGCTCTTTCCATAGAATGTTAATATTGCCCAGAATTAGGTTTCTGCCTGGTGTCAGGGTGCCCTAATGGTACTGGTGACATGCAGTCTTTTGCATTTTCTTTACTTTGTGAACCTGCCCTATAACAAGGAGGAAACTTGATAAAGCTTATGGATAATGAAAATTTAACTTCTGTTAAAAATAATTTTGAAGTATCAAAAGCTTACTCTTGATTGCTTGCCTTAGCCTTCTTATAATTTCTGCTCTGCAAGTGAGTTTCTGTGTTATTCTGTTTCTTTTAGACTATTTACTCGAAGCAAATGATTTGACAAAAACTTCATCTGTTGGGCTAAAATTGGAAACTTAGAACTCAAAGTTTAAAGTTTTTCCTCATGAAAATGAAACAGACAAAATTTAAGTATATTTGGGAAAAATAAAAGCTAGTTACAGTTACTTTATTTTTTATACCTTTTCATCTAATTGTTTATATCCCTTATTTTTTCCATAATTTTTAAATGTTCAGGAATATAAATTTCACCACTAATTTTAACACACATTTTGTTTTGTTAACCTCTAAGGTTCCCCCAGCAGAGATGTGGGACCTTCCCTGGGTCTAAAGAAGTCAAGCTCATTAGAAAGTCTGCAGACAGCAGTTGCCGAGGTGACTTTGAATGGGGATATTCCTTTCCATCGCCCACGACCGCGGATAATCAGAGGAAGGGGGTGCAATGAGAGCTTCAGAGCTGCCATCGACAAGTCTTACGATAAACCCACAGCAGATGACGACGATGAAGGCATGGAAACATGTACGTTTATAATGTTGGAAAGAGTAGCAGTTAACAAACAGGTGTATAAAGCAACAGTTGTAAAGTGTGCTTCAGGGAATCCTGGGGCTTCCCAGTACCCTTTAAATTGTTTTCTTAATAATAATATATTATTTACCTTTTGAGTCACATTCTTTCACAAATATACACTGGAGTTTTCTAGAGGCAACATGTCATGTGATATTACAATAGACTGGAGCAGATAGGAGAATCTATCTTTTTAGTCAGGTTTTAAAGAAATTTGCTAAAATATAAAATTAACAATGCCATCGTTTTCACTAATTATTTTTGGAAAACAGTTATTTTTTGTGAAAATGTAATTTCTGTTAACAAGAAATTTATTTTTATAAAGTAACAGTTTTAAACACGATCATTTTTATTTCAGTCTAATAATTATATTGATAGGTATAATCCACATAATATTTTTATTTTGAGTTCGTAATAATTTTTAGGAGCATAAAGGTATTCTGAGTCTAAAATGTTTGAAAATCACTGCTCTATAGTATATGTATAATGTGATGTGTCCCATGGCTATATGTAATAGTCTGTGATTTTGAAAACATATTTTTGTTTTGTTTTTATGAATTATTCTTGCTTTCCTTGAACTGTGCTAACAAGATATGTTTATGTATATATGTATTTCCAAATTTCAAAATATTTAAGCTAAGATAATTAAAAGTCAAAGGTTAATATGAATGAGCAATACATTTCCCATTGTATACTGAGAAAAAATTAACATTTATAATGATGTAGAAATGTACACTTCAGGGAGTTATCTATTAAACATTTGTAGTATAAATGTAACTGTTCAGTTTCAAAATAAGGAAAAAATTCTACTAGTCTATTTACTTAGTAGAGAAAGGGCCTAGGAGTTCTTATTGTAAAAAGTGTTGATTAGCTTATATTGTTCCTAACTACTAATTTACATCTTAGTTTTTTAACTTCAAATGTAACTCTATTTAACCATTGTAAGAAAAGTTGGAGACACCACAGCTTGAAGTTAAAGCAGAGAACAGAGATAATTGAAGTGAATTGTAAATCACTTGCAGTTTAACTTTTGGGTGGACCATTTCTCTCATACATAAGGAAAATTGTGGGGAGGAAGAAGAGTTTTAAATAAAAGTCACATTCTGAGGAGATTTTAAGCAAAATTATGTAATTTTTGCCTGTCGCGTGTGTGTTTGGGAAGACGAATAGCGCTGCCTGGCATAACATGCACAGCAACTCTCACAGGGGAGCTTGCTGCCCCTCCTTCCCTCCCAGCGCTCTGCCTAAATCTGGAGAGTTCTTTCACTTCACCCAGCCAGTGATTTCAAATATACTCAGCCCATTCTTGCCAGATGAAGAACATGTTTCCTATTTTTGAGGCCAAGCCTGGTCTCCAAGATCCTGAGTCATATTTTCAACCTTCTTGCATTTTCTCCTGTTGTGCCCAGGGTTCCTTGTCATCCTCACAGGTAGGGCTTGTGCAGCCCTTCCAGGGAGGGGAGGACCCCTGTTACCTGCAAATGGTGCCTGGCTCTGCCCTGCGTGTATATTTAGTAAGAGTTCTACTCGGCCCCTCAGTATTTGTTGTTTTAAGCATCTGCAATTTATGATGCTTTTGAACCTGTTCTCGTTGAATGTTATTTAAATCCACTTATAAAATGCATTCCCCCCCACCACATAATGTTACTCATTTAAATGCAACAGGGGATGGAATCCCTATCAACTTGGGGTGTGTTCTTAATTCTATAGGGTGGCCTCCAGAGCTTCCCACTAATGTGGACATCTAACTTAGTCCCTCTGTGACCTTAGTTTCCTTTTTAAATTAGGAATAACAGATTTAAGAATATTATGTTAACACTTACTCACCCAACTATCATCAAGACAAAACAAACAAACAAATAAACAAGTAGATGGACTAAGCACAGTTTGTAAGCTGGAAGTGAAGTTCTGGCCTGGAGCTGGCAGTGACCCTCATGTCCTGAGCACTTACAACTACAAAGTACTGTGTTTTCCAAAGTCCTCATTTTATTTATTTTTCAGACCAGTCTGCTGAACTTTGGGTGGCAAACGAAAGGCAGCTGTTACGCATTTCAAATATTTGCAATTTGAATTGTTGAAATTTAATTAATAGAGTGGAGCAAACACTGACTTGGAATTTAGACGACTTGCATCCTAGTCTACATTTTTCTAACCAGTTTGGGATTTTGGTCAAACCACTTAAAATCCTTGAGCTTTAGTTTCCTCATTTGTACAAGACAAGATTTGGACAACTAGGCCAGTGATTTTCACATTGTGTGTGGTGACGTCTGGCCAGGAGGGGCGTTCAGTGGCTGAGAGGATCAGAAGGAAGTGGGAGGCTGAGCAGGCGGACCCTGCAAAGGCTGCTGGCCTCCCCCTCCCCCACGGTCACCTCTTCTCTGCCTTGGCCGTTGTGGGTTTTTGAAATCACTATAGGTACATAGTGGTTCTTTGTAAATTTTAATTTTAATAAAAGATAGTTTGTTATTATTCATAAAAAGTTTGAAAAGTTCTGGTTTTGGTGGTTTCTGAGGTCCCTTCTAGTTTTCGTATTCTGTGGTTCTCGGTGTCCCATTCAGTTCCCCCTCTAAATCCTGCCTGCTGTCCTCTCTCACCTCTGTAAGGTCTGTGAAGGAAAACACATCATATCTGCTTTATTCCTGCAGAACCAAACACAGGACTTGATGAATCATAGGATTCAATGACTATTTGTTCTATCCGTTAGTGAGCTCCTCTGTAACTAGCTCCATTGTGTGCCTGCGAGAGAGGGAGAGACACTTTCAGTCAGTGTGCAGTAAGTGGGACAGTTGTGACCCCGCTGTCCTTTTCGTATCCCACACTGCACCTGCATGTGCCAGATGTCAGTCCCTCAGCAAACTATATAATAAAAATATATATACTACATATATTTATATATAAGTAGTATATATATTTATATATAAATATATATAGTATTATTACTATATAGATATACTTTATATAAGTATAATAGTATTTATACATATAAATATATAATAGTATATATATTTTTATTATATAGAGTTCGCTCTATTTAATATAAATATACTATTTATATATAAAAATATATATACTACTTATATATATTTTGTTTTTCTAACAAAATATATATAAATTATATATTATCTGTCATGTATGTATTCTCTCTCCCTATATGTATAAAGTATATCTATATAATCTGTCAAGGCTTGTGTTACTTCTGGTGGTCATTAGAATGTCACCTTTGCATGTAACTAGAAACAAAAAGGTGTTTTCTGGCTCCAGTCATGAGAAAGAAGTCCGCCCAGCCAGCCCTTCCTCTAGTGACCTCAGCACCATCCTTCTCAGAGTCTGGCTCATGGATCCTCAGGGCACACTTGCTGTCGCTGCACCCTCCCTGAGTCTGCATTCTCATCGCTGGACGTGCTCCTGCCTCCTCGCCTTCCAGCACCAGCCCTCCCTGTGTGTCCGGCATCCTGCCATTGTCTGTGTTCTGTGGGGCTGGGGGGAGGGGAGCCTTCTCGTCTGTGGTTTGCTTCAGCTGCAGCTGCCTGCTGAAATGAAAATGCCAAGTCACTACTGAACGTGGCTTTGAAAAGGGGACCAACTGTCTCGTTGATAGTTTTTTTCATCATCTAGGACATTCTCTAAGGATGCAGTTAGTGCTCCTTAAAAACACTGGGGTGGAGAGGGGGCTGTGGTTGAAAAGCTGTGTAAGGAGGGAGCCCAGGCCAGGGGTGTGGACAGACTTACCTGTTTTCTCCCCTCGCTGAGCCCATTTCATCTTAGGCACCAGCACCTTGATCGCCCTTGTCACTTGGGGTTGAGCACCTCCCCAGTGGCTCTATTTCCTGGCTCTAAATGGGCTGCCTCTTCTCAGCAGTGTTGAAATCGTGACATTGGCACACACTGGGGGCAGAGACTGGGCCGCGTCCATGTGGTATCTGATATCTGTCATCTTTGGTAACACTTATGTTCTTCCCGTGGAGACAGCAGAAGCCGGTGTTTTTGTCTCTCATTTAATCCATCTGGCCTCTCCATGTTGTGTGTCTGTCTGGATCAAGATGGAGCTTTGTACTCTGGGACCCATTATCTCCAAGGTCCTACCTGTGTTTGACAGGTCAGGGCATCTACAATCTGCTCCCTCTTGTATGTAAATTACATACCCTGCCTGGCTCTCAGCAAGTGGCTTCTTCATCCCCCATAATCAATCAGTTTCTGTTGCCACTGAGAAAACGCATGCAGTAACATTTCTTTGTTTTCTTTTTGAAAAATATAGTTCCATTTTTTTTCTCAATTAAAAGTTGCCAGATTGTAAACCTTACTATCAATTTAGTAACAGCTTTTTGTTGGGGTCAGGGAGGGGAAACACAGCAAAACCAAATGCTGTCCTATTAATTGTACCTATTAATTTTAAGATATATGTAGTTTAGAAATTTAAATGTGAAAACCTGTAGAACTTGACAATATAAAGACAAAATGCTTTTGAGTACTCTTATTAGGTGATTAAAAAAATTGCTCTACAATATGCATAACTTAGGTTAGCAATATGAGATTTCAAGAAACTATATGTTAGTAGATCAGCTAATATGATAGCTGATCTACTAACAAATTTATTCCAGGGGAACTATTGTTTGTTTTATTAGCTACAAAATACCTATTGCATTTTTATCTCAGATTTTATCCTCGGTGTTCTGCACACTTAGAGCCACCTTTCATTACTACCTTTTGAACAAAAATAATGCAAGCTAAGTCTAATTTTATCTTAAGCAGAACCCTTTGATTATAGCAAATATGTGAAAGAGCTTAGGACACTGGTATCAAAGTAAAAGAATTTTGTAGAAGATTTTCTATTTGGTTAGAGTAACCTATTTTATCTTCTTATGCCAATTTGTGTGCTTCAGTATCATCTGCATTTTAAGAAAAGGAGCTTTGATTAATTTTAGGAAGTTTCTAATTGCAGTATGTAGATACATTCC